ATCTCACTCCAGAAAGGATGGTTGTCATCAAGAAATCAACCAATAACAAATGCTGGAGGGGGTGTGGGGAAAAGGAACCCTTCTCTACCATTGGTGGGAGGGTAGACTGGTGCAACCACTGTGGAAATCAGTATGGAGATTCCTCAAAACAGTAACACTAGAGGGTCCCTTTGACTCAGTTATTCCCCTTCTTGGTATCTTCTTGAAAGAATTAAAAGCATCAAAGCTGGGTATGGTGGTACACGTCTGTAATCCCAGCACTCGAGAGGCTGAGGAAGGAGGATCCCCACAAGCTGGAAGCCAGCTTGGATTACATAGAGGGGTCAGGCCCAGCCTGAACTACAAAGCAAGACCTTGTTTCAAAAAAAAAAGAAAAAGAAAAGAAGAAAGAAAAACATCACACCACAGCAATATATGCATACCCATGTTTATAGCACCAAAATTTGTAAAAGCTAAATCTTGAAAAATAGCTTAAGTGTCCATCAACCAATGAAAGGATAAAGAAGATATGGATTTTTTAATATAATAGAGTATTACTCTGTCATAAGGGGAGTAACTTGTGATATTTCTAGGTAAATGGATGTACCTCATGTTCAAATATCACATTGTTTCTCTGGTGTTAGAAACTGAAAGTATAGATAAGGACCAAAATGTACAATAGAGACTGTGAAATAGGAAAAAAGTGTTCCAGTGGGAAAAGGAATGAGGGAGGGAGCTGGGCAAAGGAAGGAAGGAAAAAGGAAAAAAGAGAATAGGCAAAATGGAAGTAAATCTTTTTTATATGATGAGGGGAAGAGGGGTTGAAGGGAGGAGAATGGGAAAAAAGAAGAATCAAGATTTATTATGTACAGGAAACAAATTCCCTATGATGAATGTGGTCGTTATGTATATCTATTTTCTTTTTTTTGATTTTGGTTTTTTTCCAGTACCGGGAATCAAACTCATGACCTTGCGCTTGCCAGGCAGGCGCTGTGCCGCTGAGCTAAATCCCAAGCCCCCTTTATATATATCTAAAACATACCAATAAAATTAATTTAAAAAATAGTTTTCAGACAAATGGGAAAAGAAATCTCAAAACTAATATTCATGAGACACCCCCTAGAGCACTAAAATATTTCTGAAATTATCATTATAAACATTATCCATAATATTCTACACTTAAACTAGGCATTTCTGAATATTTTATGTATTACTTGTATTACGTACAATATTGCCCATTTAAATCAACTAAGCTATGGTATTAAGAGCCCTCTAGTGGTAAAATTCTTAATAGGCCCATGAAAAGGAAAAATGGCCTGTATACTCTACAGTAAGAGATTTTTAAAATAACAAAGTATTAAACATTTGGCTTGTGATTATCTTACATATAAAACTAACGCAGGCATCTTGGGCCATAAATTACTGCATTATTGTACCATATTTTCAGTGTAGTCTCCAAAGACATTATAAAGATAAGAAATGTAATAGTTATAAATTAAAAGTTATGAAGGCAATCAAAAATTTAAAAGTAGAGGAATTTCTAATAAAATCAAAATATGGTTTGTCTACTGATCTTACAGGTAAGCCCTAATTGACACACACAAAAGTTGCCATTTTGCCCTATATGAAAACAGTGTTATGAATGGGTTAGGGCTATGACCGTTCCTACCTGCCTGCAATTTTAAAGGAATGCAAACCCAGCAATAAATACAGCTTTAGACGCACAGATCCAACTGCAATCCGAGGAGCACATCTCCTCCAGGGCTGCTGGGCGGTGGGGGACAGTCTGGCTATCACCAAGTCCAGCGCCAGAATGGGACAGAGTGGGGAGGGGCCCAAGAGGCCCAGAGACTCCCACAGGAGGAAAACAGTCTCCAGCATGCTCAACTCGAATGGCAAGTGTCTTACTTACAGTGTCTTTAATCACAGGACAGTTTCAATGGGCGTAGCAGTGGTTGAATTCCCTGACATGGTGGCTGGCTTTAGTAGGTTGCTTTCAGCAAATCAGACATAAATCAGGCGCTGCTTTTTCATCACTTAACCATCCCTTCATTCCTTTACTCTTTTAATCAATAATCACTGAACCTTGTCCTTTAATATGCCCTTTGCTAAGTACTGTGAATATGAAATCGAATTCATAGCAGAGCACCGTGGCACAAGCCTGTGACTATGTCTCAAAGGCAGAGGCAGGAAGATGTCAAGAGTCCAGCAGGCTCAACTTAGCAACACGGGGAGACTCTACCTCAAATTAAAACATATAGTGTTGGGCTGTAGCTCAGTTTGAAGGCCCCGGGTTCAATCCACTGTACCACAAGAGAAAAAGAAATTCATAACCACAAAACCCGACATTAGTGTTTATGAATTCTGATGCCAATAAACAGAATGATAAGATCAAAGTGGGGGTAGGGGTCAATCTAACAGGGAGAACTTTGTGGCTGTGAAATTTAAAGCAAGTCTGGAAAGACAAGCAGGAGTCAGGGTCATGGAATCTCAGAGACAGGACAGGAAAATTGTTGAACGCAGCAGCAGAGGTTCAGCATAAACTTTTTCCTTTTTATAGCAAAACAGGAAACCTGCTGTTTCATTTCCTGTGAGGAAGATGCATGCTCCGTACTTATTGAAAAGTCAAATGATACAGACATGCAAGAGGGTAAAAATCCCTGAAGTATACCACCATTCACTTTATCTGGCCTCTCCCCTGAGTGGTGAGATTAGGGTGTGGCAAGGCTGGCTGGAGAAGTAGGTGTGACTTGTTAATTACAACATACCAGGACACATGCGCAGAACAGATGCCAATCTCCTGCACACGGATTTCTCTCTAACAGGTTTTTGAGAGGCCGGCCTAGACCTGACGTCAGCCTGACAAGTGGGTGACACAAAAAGGACTGTCCACATCGGGCTTTTGCCACTGTATTCTCTTGCAGGGTGGCACATACTGTAGGATGTACTTTTCACAATTTTACTTGGCCTAAACTTGCGCTGCAGAACCTGTTTCTTTTCCTACCTTCAATAAAACGTTGTCACTGTTTGCACTTGTCTTGACCAGTTCTTTGCTCAGGACAGAAAGAACCTAAAACCACCTCTAGAAGGAGACTCCAGCACCTAGGGCCTGATAACAGCCCCACAATTCAAGAGCACCATTGTTTGAAGAGACGTTAGGCATTTTTTTCTGTGTATTCACAAATATTTCCCCCTTCACAAAAACAAAATCATATTGCAAATAGTTTGTAACTTTAAAATACCTTAATACATTCTAGGCATACATCTTTCCATATAAAACCACATAAAGTCCACCTCACTTTGAGCAGCTACTAGTATTTGGATATTTTGTAATTCCTCGGTGGACTATATCAAAGAACATGTTGGCATTGTGTATGTGTGATACTTGGGATTGAACCCAGGGTCTTTGCTACACCCCCAGCTTTTTTCCTATTTTGAAATAAAATCTCCCTAAGAGGCTGAGTTGGCCAGGCTGAGCCTGACCTGAACTCCTCCTGTCTCTGTGGATCACAAATCATAGGGAGATTTGCATAATGACAAATAAGGGTTATAAAAAATTACACTGCAAAGAACACTGTGTGAAAATGTCTGCTTTCTTCATGCTGGGTAAGAACTGATACAGTATTCCAATATTATCACTTACCTAGTTGAGTACATTGCACATTTTAATTGGCTGGTTGTACTTTTCTCAGGTGCGCATGCCCTTTGCTCGATTTCAAATCAGGAAACTATCTTTTGATTTGTGCAAGTTTTTATATTGGGATTTAACACTCATGTACGTTGAATTTTTTTTTGTAGTCTACTCTCTTCCAATTTTATTTATAGTGAAGTTTATTTAGTAATGTAAATGTCGGAAAATTTCACACAGTTAATCTTTTTTACCCATGGTTTTGGATGAAGCACTGAGAAGCAAGTCCTTCTTAGGAGAGGGCAGAGGAGGAATTGAAATTGGAATTAGCATTGTAACTGGGATTAGCCCTGAATTTGGATTAGCACTGGCTTGAGGATTAGCATGGAAACTGGGATTAGTACTGGAATTGGGATCAATACTGGGATTGGTACAACACTGGAACCAGGAATACTGCCAATCAGAACCGTCTTGATTACACCTTTTTGACCAAACATTTATGGTATTTTTTGTCCCAAAAAGTCCTGAAATAAATCTTCTCTCATGATGGTCTTTTTATGGCTACCTTGATGTTCTAAACTGATTCAAAATGTTAATGGCATGAGCTGGGCGTGGTGGCGCAGGCCTGTAATCCCAGCATTCGGGAGGCTGAGGCAGGAAGATCATTGTGAGTTTGAGACCAACCTGGGCTACAAAGTGAGCTTAAGGCCAGCCTGAACTGCACAGCGAGACTCTGTCCCAAAAAGACAAAAAGCAACAACAACAAAAATGTTAATGGCAGTTTCTGTTAAATAAAAACATTTTAGTGTGTCTGCAACCACCTTATTACTGGACCTGGCACCTCGCATGTGCTAGCTAGTGCCCCGAGTCACACTGACCAGGGAAGGTAAAGATGCTCGTCAACTCAGGTAGGGAGGCTCAATGTTGAATCTAAAGATGCCAAGTGTTTAGAGGCATACAATGTTGTAAGAAGTTTTTGCTTTACAAAATTATTTTCTTACAAAACCAAATGCTGAGAAAGTAAGAGTAATAAAAGACAATCCTTCAGTTTATAGACTTATTTGCTGTAAATTTGTATTCAGTGGCATGCTCCCTTATGTGTGAAACATAGGATAGATCAAAATGACATGGCTTGAAAGCTTTCCAAGAGTCATCCTAATATAAAAATGAGCAATTCCTGTGCAGGAGGAAACGGGGAGGGGAGGGTAAAGGGGGAGGTAGAGGAAGAGGAGAGGGAGAAGGCAGAGAAGGAAATAAGTTAAAAATCAAGGCACTGGCAAGAAAGCAACTTTCTGACAATTTCTAGCTGTTTCAGAGTCTTGAGAATGCTTTCATGCAATCTAGTGACACTGACTGCACGAAGACAAAATATATCCATTTCAATGTGGCCTACCATTTGGACTTCAGGATCATTTTGTTCCTCAGCTTTTATTTCTCCCTCCTGGATGAAGACAGACCCTCGCTCTTGAGGTTTATAGACTTCCTGGTCCTCCTGGCCAACCGCTTCTGTGGTGCTCTTCACCTCCCTCTTGGAAAGCTCCGCTCCTGCAGGGACGCACGGTACCAACGGCACCAACGGCACCAGCGGCGCCCGCACTGCGTGCAGCGGGGTGATGTGATCATAGTGAGTGTGGAGGAGCCGGAGCGCGACGTCACTCGTGGCTAATATCTTTGGAATTTCAAATCCAATTTGTGTGTTGGAGAATTTCACACTTTTGTACCTGTCGATAGTTCATGTTAACAACATGAATTAGAAAGCTCTAGGTGTATTGCACACTTATCCTCCATTCTAATTTCACTCCAGTTTTGGAGTCCCAGCCATACCTGCTGTGTGTGCAATGTTTGGACCCAGTTATTAATGCTTCTCAGAACACTCTTGGAACCGTAACTCCACACTCCTCTCCACCTCAGCAGCCTTTCTGTCCCCTCCACATGGCCTTCTTCCTAACTACCCCTTAATATTGATGTGACTCAGGGCTCCCTCCTTCCAGGCCCCCCTTAACCCCCCTCCACTCTGCACATTATGTCCGTGGCTTCCTCGCTGCTTAAATACTGATACTTAGTATGAATTTTATTTTCCCTGAGGAAGCACAGGAGGGGAAGACATGTGTGTGAACATACATAATTGTCGATACTCAGAAGAATCTAAATTCCAAAACCTGAAGAACTTTGGTTCGTTGGTGATGACTCCCAGAAATATATTCCACCTCAGATTTCACTCAGTGCTTTTGGCCAGCTGTAGTTCAACTCAAGTCCAGCAATGAACTTAGCATCCTTACAGGACCCGCCCACCCCATCGTTACCAAAGTAAAACAAAGTTTGTCCTGCCGCTACCTTGCCAATGTAGTTAGAGATACCACCTAATTCTCCTCTTAGCGTGGAGAGTACACAACTACTTATTTTTAATTCCTTTAAAACTATACAGATTAATTTCCTTCACTCTTTTCTACCTAACATATTTTACAACAGAAAGGTTTATATAGTCTCTGGTTAAACCATAGGATTGCAGTAAATGAAACTTAGGAAATATTTTTCCTTTTACTTTAAATATAAAAAAGGAAGTTTATATTTTTCCTACGTCATATTATAGTCTTTTCATAGCTGGAACCAGAACCTCAGGCTTCTAACTTTTAGTCTGCTAATTGTCCTGTGAAACTCACTGACTCAATTTGAAATGTTTACGATCAAGCAGCAACCACGTGATCAGCAATTTGTCATTATGATCATGCTTCATAAAGACGTATCTTTCTTGAAAACAGTTGTGGAAATAGCATATAAATCTCTAAGGTAATAATACAAAATCCACTTTTTATTTTAAATCTAATAAAAAATAAAAATGATACACAATTTCAAAACAAGATGATAGGAAATTAACCAAGGTTATTATATTGCATATTGTTACCTTCAAAGTAGTTGCTCAGATTACCAAATATAGGCAGGTAAGATTGATCAAACAGTACAAGCACTAACTGTTCCTTTAATGAACTAATAGAAATTAGTAGAGCAATTATCTTAGCTATTGTGTATGTGTCTGTGTATTCCTTCCTTCTTTTCTCCTTTCTTCTCTCATCCCAGTTGTTTTTTCCTTTTGAGCAGTTTCTTTCCCTTTCACAGTATCTATTGTATCTTTTGCATCTTGTTTACTCTTTCAGTTTCTTACACTAGGGAGACAATATGATGTCTACACATGCAAGTCTGATTTATTTCACTTATGAGTATGGTCTCTAGTTGCATCCATTTACCTATAAAAGCCTCAAGTTTATTTTTCTTTATAGCTGGGTAATTCTCCATTGTATACAAATACCTCATCTTCTCAGACGAAGAACTACAAATGGCAACTATATGAAAAAATGTTTAACATCATTGGTCATCTGAAAAATGTAGATTAAAATAACACTATGATTCCATCTCACCCCAGAAAGAATGGCCATCATTAAAAACTCAACCAATAACAAATACTGGCAGGGCTGTGGGGAAAAAGGAACACTTCCCCACTGTTGGTGGCAGTGTAGACTGGTAAAAATCCATTATTTTTAAGAATTCACAAACACAGATAAAATTTTTTAAAAATTCTAGATTGCCATGTAGACCATTTATACTTTTATAGGGTGAAAGGGGGTTAAAGTGGGTGAAGAGAATGGGAAAACCTGTTAATTGCGGTAGATACTTTTACATGGATTAATATTTAATCTCAAACTATTCCTATTAAGTCAAATAATATAATCATTATTTTACTGGGGATATATTGATGCTCAGCAAGGCTAAATAACAGCCTAAAGTAAATGGCTGCTCTGTAATTCAAACCCCAGCTGGCTGACTCCATTTACACCATACTGCTATGCAATTAGCATGTGCCTGCCAAAGATGGAGTGACCCTCATAACACATATAGGGAAATTATCACCCACTAGGGTACCTTGGGTTCTTCTTGAGGTTTGCCCACACGTACAGAGTAACATTTTCATCTTGAATGATTTTTTCCATATTTCCCGTGTCCAGATCTGCTAAAGTACTAGCTTGCTATAAGAGAAAAAAAGGAAAACATTATGACCATTATACTACACAAGCAAGTTATTCCATCGCTTATGGATTAGGCCCCTTTCATTAACTCAAACAACAACCTGGGTAAAATTAAGTCTCAAAGTGATAGAGACTTTTTAAAAGATTCTCTAAAGGATACAAAAATATTTGTGCAATTAAATGCACCTCTCCTTTTTCTACTCAGTTTGGTTAAGGTGCCTAATGATGAAATTTGCTCCTACAGGGCTGGGGCATACGGATCGGTAGAGCACTTGTGTATGGTATGCACATAGCCCTAGGTTTGATCTCCAGCACTGCCATATTAGTCTCCTTTCCATTGCTGGAACAAAATGCTGGATATAAAACACTTAACAGCAAAAAGGTTTAATTTGGTTCATGGTTTCAGCGATTTCAACCCATGATCTCTTGACTTCAAGTGGCAGAAGAAAGATACTCAACTCATGGTATCTGTGAGTGGCACAGGAGCTTAAAAGAATCTGAGAGAAAGAAGCCAGAGACCAGATATAGTTTCCCCATGACCTGCTCAGACACACCCAGAAATGTGCTTTACTAATTGCCTAAGTGTCTCTTAAGCCAATCAGGTTGACAGTCAAGATTAACCATCATAACCACCATCACCACCATAAAAAAGACCCTCCTTCACATTACCCTTTCCAAATTTAACATCAGAATCATAGCTTTTCATTATAGCTATACACATGCTTCTCTATCTGTACATTAAAATGTAGACTGTAAAAGTTAGCCTTTCTCAGACTATGTAAGTTTGGAAAGCAGGATACCAGTATATGGAACCCAGGAGAATCATGTGTTTCACTAGTCTGATACTTGACATCTAACAGTAAACATTCAACGTAAGGATGCCCTTAGGAATTTTAAAATAAAGATCAGTGTAGTTTCATACCTATCACTCAAGAAATTAGCTCTGAGCAAGAAGTTATGTTGTATTCAGCATGCTGCATCCACTCAGGAAGCAGCTGATGGCCCACCTCTAATGAAAGACTTGGTACTGAGTGCCGGCGCTGACCGCCACGTCTCCCGTGGTGAGGTACTTTTTTATAAAGCAATCTGAGGTCAAGTAGTAGCTATAAAATTAATGTGTCCCTCGATGACTGTTCTCCTAATCACTCAGGTAGATATTAACGGTTCTTATTTGACTCAATTATTATTTTGGGGACTGAAACATGGTGATGTTCTGACTAACTTTTCCTTCCATATTAAATGCATCCTTCTATAAATGGTTCTTCCCCCACCGCATTTTCCCCTTTCTTTTTTGGAGGATCACTATAGATTCATGGATTTTTATTTACTTGATATGTTATAGCTTATTATAGTCATTTTTTCTAGTATTGACATTATTCCAAATTTGGCCAGTGGGACCTCTTTAAGCTACCCTGCCCGGAGAGGAATGGAGCCTTGCCAGAGGGTGTCCTCTCGGGGTTGCTGCTCGCCCTCTAGCACAGTAAGATAAGCCAGCCTCATCTTTTACTGGTTCTGCTCCAGACTTGGAGTCAGCCACTTAATTTAGGGGCTGCCTTTTAACTAAAGGGCCCAGTGAGTCCGGGGCCTTTTTTTTTTCATTCCTCAGGTGTGTGGTTTGGGGGATCAAATCCAAGGTTTCTCTCATGCTAGGCAAATACGACTGAGTGACAACCTGGATCTTTTTATGCAATAAAACCTGGCTCATGCTGATATTTCTATTTCTACTTTATATTACAATATATATGAAGATCAGAAAAATACTGTGTCGCTGGGCATGGTGGCGCATGCCTGTAATCCCAGCACTCGGGAGGCTGAGGCAGGAGGATGATTGCGAGTTTGAGATCAGCCTGGGCTGCAAAGTTAGCTCAAGGCCGGCCTGAACTGCATAGTGAGACCCTGTCTCAAAAAGACAAAAAAAAAAAGAGAGAGAGAGAAAAATACTGTGTCTCCTTTTTCTTATCTAGAATACTGATATATTTCTTTACTCTCCAACCTACAATACACATAATAATTGTAAACATATAATATGAATAATACTGCTAACAATCAGGTTGGTAAAAGACACACAGTGTAAGCCTTCTTTGTAGTGCTTTTCAAAATTAGAAAACAGTCTACTCAGGTGATACAATGGACTGTGTTCTAGACCAGAAGAATCTGAGACAAAACAGAGAAAAATAGTGTATGATGGTAGATTGAATACGGACTGAATATTAGAATTACGATATTCATTTCCTGAGGTATAATGTTTTGTTTTTTTTTTTTTTTTTTTGGTTTTTCTCCGGTACCAGGAACCGAACTCACGACATTGCGCTTGCCAGGCAGGCGCTTTTGCCGCTGAGCTAAATCCCCAGCCCCTCCTGAGGTATAATGATTTACATTTGTATGAGTCTTATTAGTACTGAGATACTCATTGGTAAAATATAATAACAACTTTCAAGTAGTACAAGGAAAAAATAAGGATATAGATAAGGTAATTAATAAAATATTTAAAATTTATTGATTTTATATATCAATAATAGTCTAATAAAGCTAAAAATTTATTAAGTCCAGATGGAGAGTACATAGACCTATGGTATATTCTTTTAATCTCATGCTCAAATAAAATCCTCTTCAAATAAAATGTTAGAGAAAAAAATAGAATACTGTACCAGGTAACTGTAACCTTATATCAAGTGATTTGTGCACTGACTAATATTGTTCTTGTGAAGTTATTTTCATAGTGAACTTAGTAAACCTTGAAAAATATAAAAAATCACTAACTATATTGAAGATGTTTTATTTCTTTAAAAATATTAATAGCTACAGTGATAAAGACAGCATGATATTAGCCAAACAGCCAATGTAAGGGTCAATGGAATAGTATAAAAAATGCAGAAACAGTTCCAAGAGCACTTAGCTACCTTATCTTTGGCAAACGGGGCAAATACCTTACTGGAAGCAAGAGAGCCTCTTTAATAAATGGTGCTGGGAAAACTGGCTCTCCACATGCTGCAGCTTGAACCTATATCCATATCTCCCATCATGCACTAAACTAAAATTGAAATGGATCAAAGGTCTAAATGTTAAAACAATCAATCTGCTAGAAGATAAAATAGATAAAACTTTTGAAGACATAGGTATAGACAAAGACTTAATGAACAAAGCCCTGATTGCACAGGAAATATAACAAAGAATCAACAACTGGGATCACATCAAATAAAAAGCTTCTGCACAGCAAAATAAACCAGCAACAGTGTAAAGAGACAACATACAGAATGGGAAAAATTTTTTGCTAGCTATTCCTCAGACCAGTGATGGTGAACTTATAGCATGTGTACCACAGCAGGCTGTTATCACTGAAAGCTCTAAAAAGGCTCACTATCACTGTCTCAGACAGAGGACTAATATCTAGAATATATAAAGAACTCAAAAAATCAGGACCCCCCCCCATATTTGAAAACCCAATCCAAAAATGGGCATCTATAATGAACAGACACTTCTTAGATGAAGTAAAAATAATAAATAAATACATGAAAAGATGTTCAACATTGCTGGCCACTTGAGAAACGCAAATTGAAACACTGAGATTCCTTTGCACACAGAAAGATGGCAATCATTAAAAAATCAACCAATAACAAATACTGGTGAGGCTGTGGAGAAAAAGAATCCTTCTCCATTGTTGGTGGAAGTGTAAATTGTACAACCACTATAGCAAGCAGTATGAAGATTCCTCAAAAGACTAAAACTAGAGGCTCCATTTGACCCAGGTATTCTCCTTCCAGTATCTTCCCAGAACAGTTAAAAGTCACCACACCACAGTGATACATGCGTATCCATGTTTATAGCACCACAATTTATAATAGGTAAATCTTGCAAACAGCCCATATGTTCATGAACAGATGAAGGGATAAAGGAAATGTGATAAATTGTAAAATACAATGCAGTATTACTCTATCATAAAGGATAACTTGGGACATTTTTAGGCAAATGGATGCATCTCAAGACCATAACTTTAAGTGAAATAAATCAGAAACACAAGTTTAAATATCAAATTGCTTCTCTTGTGTGAGAAACCCAAAGTGTAAATAAGGAACAAAAGACAGGATAGATATTGGGAAATAAAAACAACTTGTTCAAATGGGAAGGGGCATGGGAGTATGGAAGGGAAAAGGGATTTTTTAAAAATAACTGAAGAGAATAATGGAAAAAGAGCTTTTGTGTGTAAGGAGGGAAGGACTGAAGGGAGGGGAGAGGAGTGGGAAAAATAGAATTAAGATATATTATGTATAGGTACAAATTCCCCCTGATGAATGTGATCATTATGTATGGCAAAACGTATTAATAAAAAAATGTTAATTATAAATATTACCATCTATTAAACCTATATCAATACATGTACTTGAATTATTTTGCTGACTTCATAACAATACTGGATTGTTCTGTTATAAATAGTATAACACTTTAGTGCTCACAAAAAGAACATAAAAGTATCACACATACTCTGAGCAGTATTTCCGTGGCTATGTTAAACTTAAGGTGAAGGAGCTCCTGAAGCTCTAAAATTGATCCTTCGTATTGTATTATGTTTTTGTCTCTCAAATTATATGTCGGAGTTTCCAATAGCATTAATTTCAATTTCTCAATTAACTGTAATGTAAAAGAATATTTATATTAATCCATGGACAGTCAAAAAAAGTGAAAAATGGGGTGTTTTATCACTTTTGAATTGAGGAACAGCTTAGTGAAACATGCAAACATCTTTTTCTATACTTATTTTTAAATTTAAGAATCACAGTGAAATAAAATATTTCCCCAAAAAAACTCCTTCACAGTATTCTTCCCTCTGTGTTAGAACTGTTATTAACAAGTTGATAGATGAGTCACAACTTGTCATTACTTAAGACTATAAAATAGAGACGTGTTAGTTCCTTTTATGTTGCTACAGCAGGATCCTTGAGGCTGGGTACTGTATTAAGCAATGAGGTTTATTTAGCTCACTGTTCAGGAGGTTCAGGAATGTGGCATCAGTGTCTTCCCAGCTCTGCTAATGGCCTCAAAATGGGGGGAATGTATGCAAGGGTGGTTGTGTGCAGAAAAGGGATTCAGGGTCTTCACACAGTTGAAGTGTGGTCCATCCAGGATCACAGAGGCGGAACTACTGCCAAGTCACAGCACTTGTTCATGGGTGAAATACATCTCAAACTGTTGGCCACACAGGCAACACGTGGAATGAGTTTGACATTTTTGAGCTACAACATCTTAGCAGTTAGACAACATCTTGGAACATGGAGAAGTTAACAGCAGCACCAATGACACAAAGCATAGAATTTTTGTGAGTGGAGCAAAAAGCAATAGAGGTTAATAATAGAAACAGAAATGTGAATTTCTTCTGGTATCTGGATCAAGAATGTGTGTTGAAATGTGGGCTTTTATGGTAGTGACCCTAACATGTCACTTTAGGAACATATTTGGCTTCTGCCCGATTCCAGGACAGAAATTCTAAAATCCTTAGAATTTCCTGAGTGACAGGCATGAGACAAACTCTTTATTTTTCCTAATCAGCCATCTTTAACCACACTGGGGTTTAGACTGGTGTGGCAAACATTAGGGAATGGGGGTGGGAAGGTGATTCCAGAGTTGGAACATTTCAGCCTTGCTCCTTAATCTTGAGGGAGAAGAGAGAGGCTAGAGATGAATTTACCAATGGTCCATGACTTAGTCATTATGCCTACATCATGAGGTCTCCACAAAGCCCCTGGACAGTAGGGCTAGGGGGCTTTTGGGTTGGTGAATACACTGAGCTACCGAAAGGAAGGCATAGCAGGAGAGGGCATGGCAGCTCTTCCCACATACATGCCCCATGTAGTTCTTCATCTTGCTATTTACATCATGTCTAATATTCTTCACGACAAGCTGGTAGATGCAAGTAAACATTCGCCTATGTTTTGTGAACAATTACAGCAAGTTCCCTCGTCTGGGGAGGGAGCTGTGAGAAGACTAACTGGCTGCTTGAAGTACAGGTGACAAGCTGGAACTTGTGATGGAAAAGGGGCACAGATTCGTGGGGCCAAGTCCCTCTGTACTAACTCTGGGTCACTTCAGAGCTGGGTTAGAGGCCTCCTAGTTGCTATCCATTTGGGGCTGTGGGAAAATCCCTTCAAGTACTGCAAGAAAAATTTTAAAATGTCTCTCCTTTTTTTTTGGAATTTGAGGATTTATATCTTCCAGTTCTGGAAATTTTTCTGCCATTGTCTCTTTGGATATTATCTCTACTATTTATATTTTCTTCTAGTATTCTTCCATGTACTTTTAGTCCTTCTTATTCTATTATGTGTGTCTGGGAAACCACTCTTTCATATTTTTCACCTCTTTGTCTCTGTGCTATGTTCTGGTAAATTCTACCAATCCAATCTTTGCATTCACTCATACTCAATTTGTTTCCCCTTTACTAAGGTGAAGACGAATCAAACAAATTTTCTTATTTTTTGCTTCAATTACACAGACAAATAAATGTTCCATATTTGTGTTATGCTGATTAAGGCAGCAAGACATTGTTGTTTTAACATGGATAATAAAGATTACCAAGTGTCTTTGTTACTTTTCTCTCATTGCTGAGACAAAATACCTGACACCCAAAATTAAGGAAGGAAAGATTTATTTAGCTCACAGTTTGTGGAGGTTTATTCCATACTCAGTTGGCTCCAAGGAATAGTGGCACATGGCTAAGGCAGCAGAAGATAGCAAAGAAACAAGAGCATAATGGAGGAGTGGTGGTAAGCAGCCTCTTTCTCTCCCTTACATTGTATGCAAACTATCAGCCCCAGGGCGGGTGTAGCACTCACATCCATAATCCCAGCATTAGACCATGAATGGATCATAAACTCTAGAAGCCCACCCCCATGACTGCATGAGGCTTTGGGGGGACATGCAGACACAAACTATAACACCAATTCTCTCTCTATAGTCAAGCATTTAGAAGCAGTAAGTAGTGTTATGAATTAAAAATATATTTAATTTTTTTTTAATGGGAGGTTCTCTGTAATTTAGTTTATATTACACTTGAATCCTTACCTGTAGCACCAGTTTACTCTTCTTGATCACTGTCTCAAAAGTCTGATTTGTTTCCTCTTTCCACAAGCTAATGAAAGTATTCATTTCTTGGGGTATGGAAGGATCAGGACTCCCATCACACTGAATATAGTGTTTCCACTGTGAAATACAAATGTGTGAAACTTCACACTGATGATCTTTTAGAAAATCTGCATTCTCAGGACTCAGTTTTCCCAATATGGACAAAATTTTTTTTATGACATAAGCCAGTAATTGAATATAGGCCAAACAATAACCAACTAAATAGAAATAAGAAGACTCCTTCACATAAATTATCTCTAATCTTCAAGCTTCAGCAAAATAAAAATTCTATTTACTGTCATACTTTTGTTTCTAAACGATCTGAGTTGCATGCTCAGTCTAAGAGGATGAGCACCCCCGATAGAGGAGGACCATTCCTCGGTCAAGGGTGTACGAGTAGCTGTGCTCCTGTGCTAGAAACTTGAAACAAGCTCCCAAGGATATGATCTCAATTACCAAAAACTTATAGTTGTCAGTTCTTTCTATGAGCTTTTTAAAGATTAACCACTTCAGACCAGAACAATTAATAGAAATGATGAGACTCAAAATGGCCATGATTAATGAACCAATAAGCATTCATTGTAACAATGATCAATTGCCAAGGAAACTTGTGTGCATGGTGCTGGATTCCGAACACAGGCCTTGTGCATGCTAGGCAATGCTGAATTTACTGAGCTGCATCTCCAGTCCAAATATGGATATTTCTGCTGCATACATCTTAGTAACTAGAACTGGGACTGGTAGCATTATATCTGGACTATCAGATTTCAATGAATTTTGTACAATTTTTGGAAACACATAAACAACACATTCATATAAATAAAACTCAAAGATGATTCTGCATGACTTACTTGACACCACTATTTCCCATACAATTTAACACATCAAATAAGCCTGACTGGCTTAATACATCCTCTTCAGATGTCCCAAAGGCCCTTTGGAATGTCCCAAAGTTAGTTAAAAGTCAAAAGTTGAAAGTCAAACTACAACTTGATTTGGGGGAAATTTACCAAAAATATCAAAGATTCCAAACTCTTGATCAACGTAAGATCACAAGTCATTGAGAACAATAAATCTTCCTTTAACCAAAATGACAAAATACTTTAGAGGCAAGTACAGAAAACCATACAGCTACAGGAAAAAATACCATCTATTCATTAGAGAAGATTCAATTCCTAAGTAATCAAAAGCGTAATAAAAGTCTATTTCCTATCAAGAGCAAAGCAATTCTCTAAGAAAATCCTGTTGCTTTAGCACAGAGAACAAAATTCAAGTGTTGCATACTTTAGATACTAATGTTCAATTCTCAAAATAACAAATAACTATATTTTAATTTTACCTAGTTTAACAAAATTCTCATTCCCCCCTGTCTTTTTGGCAGTGTACTAGGGATTAAACCCAGGAGTTCCACACTAAACTACACCCCTAGCCCTTTTTTATTTTATGCTTTTGAGGCAGGGTATCACCAAGTCACTATGTTGGCCAGGCTGGGCTTGAACTTGCAATCCTCCTGCCCCAGCCTTCCAAAATACTGGGATTACAGACATGTACCACCATGTCCAACTCACAAGAGTCATCTTTCACAAAGTTTATAACCTTCTTATGTTCTTTCAGTGACTTGTCATAGTATACTATTTTCATTTTGGAAAAAAAAAAAACCCTCCAGATCAAAAGTTATTCTTTTCCTTTCAAAAAACATCTAATACCCTATCCAGTGATGGTGAACCTTGTAGAGCTTTCAGTGATAAACAGTTGGCAGAAGCTGGCATGCCAGTTTTGCCACCGCTGCTTTATACCTTCACCCATCCAAAACATTTTTCTTATATAAAAATTAGCATAGATTAACAATTACCTTAGATCTAACAATTAGAATTACCTTAGATCTAATAATTACCTTAGATTAGGGTTTCACTTACTATAATTTCTAGTAAATTTCTTGCTTTAATTTCCAGTAAAAACTTTGAAAGTAGGCAACTCTGAACTGTTTTAGACCAGCATTTTTTTTAGATGCGTATTTTATAATTTTTAGAAACATGTTTTCTCATACTACTTTTCATATCTAACTACTCAAAGATATCTAGCTTTTACTGTGACTAAAAACAGTGTGATACTGGCAAAAAAAACAGACCTGAAGATTAATGGAACAGACTAGAAGATGCAGAAACAACTCCAGACACATTCAACCACCTTATATTTGATAACGGAGCCAAACACATACACTGGAAGAAAGATAGCCTCTTTAATAAATCGTGCTGGAAAAACTGACTCTGCACATGCCAAAAATTAAAACTGGACCCATATATTTCACCATGCACTAAACTAAATTTGAAATGCATCAAAGATGTAAATATTAAGACACAAACATTAAATCTACCTGAAGATAGAATAGGTAAAATTCTTGAAGACTTTGGTGTAGGCAAAGACTTTATGAATAAAGCCCCAATTGCACAGGAACTATCACAAAGAATCAATAATTCGGATCTCATCCTATTAAAAAGCTTTTGCACAGCAGAAGAAACCGTTAACAGAGTGAAAAGATAATCCACAATGTGGGAAAAAATGCTGGCTGGATGTTACTCAGACAAGGGTTTACTATCAAGAATGTATAAAGAACTCAAAAAAAAAAAAAATCAGATCTCCCAAATTTAAATACCCAATCCAAAAATGGGCATTGGAGATGAACACATACTTTTCATATGAAGAAATACAAACAGCAAATAAATATATGAAAAAGTGTCCAACATCATTGGTCATTCAAGAGATGCAAATTAAAACAACACTGAGAGTCCATCTCACCCTTGAAAGAACAGCTATTCTCAAGAAATCAACCAATAATAATATCAAGAAATAACAACAAGAAATCAACCAATAACAAATGCTGGAGGAGCTGTGGGGAAAAAGGAACCCTTCTCCACTGCTGGTGGGAGTGTAGACTGTACAACCACTGTGGAAATCAGTGTGGAGATTCCTCACAAAACTAGGATTGGAGGTCCCATTTGACCCAGCTATTCCCCTTCGGAGTATCTTTCCAGAATAATTTAAAACATCATGTTCAAGCAGCACAATTTGCAATAGCTAGATCTTGGAAACAACACAAATGTCCATCAACCAAGAATGGATAAAAAAGATGTGGTCTTTTTATATAATGGAGTACTACTCAGCCACAAAGAAGGATAAACTGGAGACTTTTATAGATAAATGGGTGCAACTTAAGTCCATACTCTTAAGTGAAATAAACCAGATGCAAATGTATAAATACTGCATTGCTTCCCTATATGAGAAGCTGAAAGTAAATGTGATCTAAAATGTACAATAGATATTGTAAAATGGGAAGAAACTTTAAAAGGAAAGAGGAACTGGTTCAGGGGAATGGGAAAAAAGAAGGCGGGAAAAAGCAGAAGGAAAAAAAATATCTGTATATATAGAAGATAGGTAAGATAGTTGTACTGCTCATTTCTCCCAGTTCGTGGAAAAGATATGCTTGTGCTAACATTTTTGGGACAGTTAAATGCTAATATCTTATACTCTGAACTAATCTAAAGCTAACAATACACAATGTATTAACCATTGTTATCCTCCTATCATATTGTTTTGGAATTTTGTTTTTGTGGTTTTTTTGTTTTTGTTTCTTTTTCTTTACAAAAAAAAAAAGATACCTACGTTTTCTATACCATATAAACACAAGATGTTCCACTAGCAGAATTATCAAACAAATGGAGACCAGATTTATTTTTAGTGCTAAAGTCAAGAGAGATGTCCAACCAGTTCAACTCACCCACCCAGCTGCAAATACTGGTGAGTGGACAATCCTCTTTTTCTTCAGCATGCTTAACATGATTCCCAATTTTTCTACTTGTGAGTGTATTCATCTATTCATCTAAGGAGAAAACTACATCTACCTTGTTTGCCCTTATATCCCTGACCCTATTAAAATATCTTCCATATAGACAGTCAAATGTTTGGTAAATGAATGCACTGATTGTTAATCTCATCCCATGTTTTTCTTTTTTCTTTTTTTTTTTTTTTTGGTTTTTTCTCCGGTACCGGGAACCGAACTCACGACCTTGCGCTTGCCAGGCAGGCGCTTTTGCCACTGAGCTAAATCCCCAGCCCCTCATCCCATGTTTTTATTAGTCAATGTTTTCCAACTAGACAAGATACAGTTTACATTTTGTCAGTGAAAATAATGAAGATCTATCTTCAGAAAAACTTCTAGGACCCTATTGAGGCAGTAGATTAGGGCATGGCCAAGTAGCTGGGCAAGTGGGTGTGACTTGTCAATCACAGAGTTCTAGGATATCTGTGCAGAATACAGTCCCCAAGCCCTGCATCTGGGACCAATCAGAAAGCACTATCTTCAATTCTTCTGGCATACAGCCAACCAGGTCTTTGATAGTATGGCCTATGTCTGATGTCAGCCTGAAGGATAAGGGATGTAAAAGACCTCTGCTTTTAACCTCATGGCCACTAGGAGCTTTTTCAGCGGCCCACTCCCATGCTGTAGAGCACACTCTTTTCCTACCTTTAATAAATGTAGAACTTTGCTACCATTTTTGCACATCTTGTGCAATTCTCTGTAGGACACCAAGGAGCTGAGAAGAGTCTACAGAACCCTACAATCTAGTAACACTACTCCAAACATTAAAGATAACTGGGAAAAGCCATTCGTTATCTGTACGTGGTGGTGTACACCTATAATCCCAGCACTCAGGAGACTGAGGCAGGAGGACTACTGCAAGTTTGAGACCAACTTGGGCTACACAGTAAGTTCAAGGCCATCCTGAACCATATAGAGAGATTCTGTCTTAAAAAAAAAGATAACTGAGAAGTCTCCCACTGGTCAATTCATATTTGTATTCTCAGACCATTCTCTTCCAATATATAACAATACGACAGAAAAGCAAGTTTTAGTGTTTTACTTAAACATGACTTGACACTTGCAGGGGACTGACAACTGGTGGTCAACTTGTAACACTCAGGTGAACTGAGTCAGTGTGGTGCTGGGTGTGGGAGGCCCACCTGAGGATTGTTGCTGGCAGCGTAAGAGGCAGAGCTGGAAAGGAAGAAGTTTAGAAGCT